AAATCCCCCCCTTTCCTGCCTCCAATTTTCTGATTTTACCCCGGTTTTCCCCTCCTAACCCCCCCTCAGCAAACACAAATGTGAGATGGGAAAATTCCCCCTTTTCCTGCCTCCCCCCCCCCAATTTCCTCCTCCTAAATCGTGCTCAGCAAACACAAAATGTGAGATGGGAAAATTCCCCCTTTTCTTGCCTTCAATTTTCTGATTTTACCCCGGTTTTCCCCTCCTAAATTGTGCTCAGCAAACACAAAATGTGAGATGGGAAAATTCCCCCTTTCCTGCCTCCAATTTTCTGATTTTACCCCGGTTTTCCCCTCAAATCGTGCTCAGCAAACACAAATGTGAGATGGGAAAATCCCCCCTTTCCTGCCTCAAATTCCTCAATTTTCCCCTCCTAAATCGTGTTCAGCAAACACCAAATGTGAGATGGGAAAATCCTCTTTTCCTGCCTCCAATTTTCTGATTTCACCCCAGTTTTCCCTTCAAATTGTGCTCAGCAAACACAAATGTGAGATGGGAAAATCCCCCTTTTCCTGCCTCAAATTCCTGAATTTTCCCTTCCTGCATTGTACATGGCAAGCACAAAATGTGAGATGGGAAAATCCCCCTTTTTCTGCCCCCAATTTTCTGATCTCACCCCAGTTTTCTCCTCCTAAGTCGTGCACAGCAAACTCAAAATGTGAGATGGGAAAATCCCCTTTTTCCTGCCTCCAATTCCCCAGTTTTCCCCTTCCAAACACAAAATGTGAGGTGGGAAAATCCCTCCCTTTCCTTCCTCCAATTCCCTGATTTTCCCCTCCCAAACAAAAAATGTGAGTTTGGAAAATTCCCCATCCTCAAATTCCCCTTTTTCTCCTCCCATTTCCTCTCCCACATTGTGGGCAAAATGTGAGGTTGGAAAAAAAAATCTCCTCTGTCTCAAATTCCCACTTTTCCCCCCCAATTTCCCCTCCTATTTCCCCTTTTTTTTCCCTGTCCCATTTTCCCCTTTTCCCCTTGATTTTCCCCTCCTATTTTCCCATTTTTCCCTGATTTTCCCCTGCTATTTCCCCTTTTTCCCCCCTCCTATTTTCCCTTTTTCCCCCCAATTTTCCCCTCCCACATCGTGCGCCACGAGCACAAAATGTGAGGTTGGAAAAATTCCCTCAAATTCCCTTTTTTCTCCCCAATTTTCCCCCTCCCTCCCATCCTTATAGGGCATGGAACTGTTGGGTTGTGTTATTTTTATTTTTATTTTCTTTTATACTCCTTTGCACTGACTTTGGCTAGAAAAAACAACAAAACAACACAAAAAAGTATTTAACAACAACAACAAAAAACCCCCAAAAAAACCCCAAAACCCGACCAGCCCCACCTAGGGAGAGCCCTTAATCCTCCTTTTTATAAACAAAGTTATTTAAATATTGAATAGGAACTTTTTTTCTGCTTTTTATTTCCCTTTCCCCTCGTTATTTATTAAGCTTTTCCGTTGCTCTTTTGATAATTCTTGGGGTTTTTCACCCCCAAAAAAAAAGAAAAAAAAAAAAAAAAAAGACAAAAAAAGGTCTCACTTGAATTTTTGGAGACTGTTCCCCCCCTTGCCCTGCTCCCGCCCGTTCCCGGGCTAAAGGAACCTCAAAATTCGGTGCTAAACCCCCCCGGGACCCCCCAAAACTCAGCCTGACCCCCCCAGCCCGGGGGGAGCTGCCCCATCCTCAGCTTTAACCGGGGTACCCCGGAATGGGACGTGGGGACCCCCAAATCCTGCCCCAAATTCTCCCCCACATCCTTCCCCAATCCTTCCCCAAACCCCCAAAAAAGTCTCCCCCAAATCCTCTCCCAAATCCCCCAAATTCTTCCCTAAATCCCCCCAAAATCCTTCCCCAAATCCCCAAAAAATCCTGCCCCAAATTCTCCCCCAAATCCTTCCCTAAATCCTGCAAAAATTCTCCCCCAAATTCTCCCCCAGATACTTCCCCAAATTCTCCCCCAATCTTTCCCTAAATCCCTAAATTCTCCCCCAAATCCCCCAAAAATTCTCCCCAAATCCTTCCCAAATTCTCCCCCAAATCCTTCCCCAAGTCTCCCAAAAATCTTCCCCCAAATCCTTCCCAAATTCTCCCCCAAATTCTGCCCCAAATCCCCCAAAAATTCTCCCCAAATCCT